GAGGGGTAGCGGGGAGTTGGAGGAAGTGTGATCCTCCATCATTGGGGTTTTCTGTGTTGCTGGAAGTTACAACAGTAGTGGGAGTGATGCAAATGTCAGGGGGCATTGATGAGAAAAGTGTTTCTCCAGGGATCTTCCAATAAGACACAGACTTGGAATGGATAGAGCCCCTGGAAATAGAAGCCTGGCTTCCACTGTGGGTCAGGAAGAAGGTTGGCTTCAGGCTTCAACCCTGCAAGGCAAAATCTCTGCAAGGGCTGGGCAAGGACTTTCCCTCAGAGGTCACACCAATCATGGCACAGCCAGGACAGGCATGTGGGATGGGACGAGTCCCCTGCTTTCCAGCTGTGCTGGGGCAGGTAGTGTTGGGAATGCAGCTGGGGAGCCAGCAAGGCTCTTCCTTGACCTCATGCTGGTCCTTCCCACTCACTTCTCGTGTGCACGAGTTTAGGGGGAAAGAGTCCTTATAGGCGAGATATGTTGCTCTTGAAGCTGTATCTGTGGGGAGGTTGGAGCTGAGCACAACTGTTGGCCTGAGATGCACAGGGAATGTCAGCCTTTCTGCAAACCTACACAGCTCTCCCAGACTGTTGATTTAATTGTTCTGTGTGTGTCTTGCCTCATGGAAACAGGAAGCAAATTCAAATGCAAAATAAATGGGGGTGACTGCAGATTTGGGAAATGCCCCTACGGTACAACACCAGTTGGAAGATGCTCAACATTTAAAGCGTGTTGCAAAAGGTAAGTAAGAGATCCCTGGTTCACAAAGATAGTTCTCCTTTTTCCACAGAAAGCTTTGTTACAAAGTTATCTCTAGCTAATGCCTGCTAAATAATCTCCTGCATTTATAGTTTTTGGGAGAGGCCCAAGAAGGAAGGTAAAAGCCCTTTTGGGTTTGGGCCAGCCCTGAGTGGGGTTGCAGGAGCCCCAGGTCAGCCAGTGCCTCCCCACTCTCCTCCAGTGCCAGGAGGCTCATTCAGGCTTTGCAGAGGACTCACCCAAGACAACAAAGAGTGAAGTATTTGCTGTCCTTGGGCAGCACTGAGGACATGATCCAGGTTTTGCTGCATCTGCACAGACTTGCAGTCAGGGCTGTCACCACTGAGATAACCCAGGTCCCATCTGTCTGCACAAAGGACTGGGCCTCACCTCTGCTGAGCCTGAGTGTCCTGCACCACAGACTGGATTGTCCTTGTGGGGGAGGTGGGAGAGAGTGGGAGGAAAAGTTAAAATAGCTGACATGCTTGTCTGCTTTCTTTGTACAGCACCTGGGGTTGAGACCCTGAAATGTCCCAGCAGGACATTCCCCTCGCTTCTGGCTCCTGGAACCATCTCCTGAGGTCCTTTCCCCTCCCTGCCTCTGCCATGCCCAGCTCCTGGCACAGCAGCAGTGGCAGCTGCTCCTGCTGGGTGCTGCTGGGCTGGAGACATCTCGTCCCAGCCGTGGGGTCTGTGGGGCAGAGGCTGCTTTTGCCAGCTTGAATAAAGATGAG